AGCTCACAGCAATGACTCAAATCCACTTTTACATTTCTTTATTTGCACTTAATGCTAGAGGTTCTAGGGAAAAAAACAAAGCTCTTTGAAGGAGCAGCACGGGCATCGAGGGAAAAATGGAGGGCTGCAGCATATGAGGTGCAGTTTCGATATGAGTTTCAAAGCAAATGAGATCAAAACTCCTACCACTGCCTGCAAGAACACAGAGATAACAGCCCTGTCAGCTGCGGTCGTAACGCTGCTGTATCTGTCTCCTTGTGTCTCCTGCTGCCCTCCGACAGGGAGGGGTAGCACCATGCCCTCCACCAGCTGTGCTCCTCCACTTGGACTCTGCAGGAGAGACGGGAAGCGCACGCCAGTGCTGGCATTCAAATCCTGCCAGCAGAAAGCATGGCTAAAGCAATTTGCTCCATAAAGTGGCTCTGGGGACTGTTCTGGTGAGGAGCAAGGCACGACATGGGAAAGTCTTGTGGGTTTCCACAAGCCTCATCAGGAGCAGGTGCTCGCTCCTTGAAAGAGGAGGCACCACAGAGCGTCGGAGCCAAAGCTGATGGAGAAGAGGGGGTGAGTGATACAAAAAGCCGCTGTTCTCAGGAAGCACACTGCTGCCTGCAAATAAAACACCTCCTTTTTTTATCTAACACAAGCAGCAAACCCTGTTAGCGGCCACCTCCCGCAGCTGCTGTGTGCCGTGGCAGGGGGTTCCCTCAGGATGCTGCCCAGCAGCGTGTCGCTGGCCGAAGGGGCCGGGAGCAGCGATATCCGCAGCGGGAGATACGGTACCATCAGCTCCATCCCGCTCCCAGGCCCGAGGCTGCTCATCCTCTCCCACCTGCATCTATCCCTCATGCCTCTTTTTCATTTTTCTTTCTTCTTCTATTTAAATGGGGAAATGGTTGCTATTGCCCTGCCTCCGTTAAGGGCTTCTCCTTTTATTTCAAATTTTGACGCATTTTCCCCCAAAGACACATGGTGTTTTAATCAGGAGCAATCAGCCATTAAAACCAGATTAATTAAAGAAATGAGTTAACGTATTTTTCTAATTATCTCAAACAAGCAGGAGGAAAACTCTACAATCTTGCATTTATAATGCTGTTTGCCTGCAACAGATCACTGGGTAGCATCACTGCTGATCTGAGAAGATGATGCCATGGCACCATTAATAATTTGCTTGAATAATAAAATAGCTGAATTAGAATCTACTGCATCCCTTGGAAAGAGATATTTTGGTCTCTTTTACCATTTATGCTGCAGTTAAGAGCCCTGCTTTGTAGTTTCTTATAACCATGACATGAATGCAACGTGCCCTTTGCATGACTCCATTTGTGATGTATTTAATTCTTATTTTTCGCTCTGCTGCAGCTCCTGTTGTCCGTAACACTCCATGCAGAGGGACAAAGCCCCACAAGACTGCGATACACTGTGCAAATTTGGAGCAATGACTGCTCCGCCTTTTCTATTTCTAAGGCTTTTAAAAATGTCATGGTCATTGCAACCCCATCTAACTTCAGGGTTAGCATAAAATCCCAGGATAAATGATGTCATATGGTGTCAAAATGATAGCACAAAGGCACTGAGTTGATGATGCCATTTAATGTGAAATCGTATCTTGGATGAAGCCATCAAATAAATCACAGAATCACAGAATGGTTTGAGTTGGAAGGGACCTTAAAGATCATTGACTTCCAAGCCCCCTGCCCTGGGCAGGGTCACCTCCCACCAGACCAGGTTGCTCAAAGCCCCACAGCTTTGGGGGATGATGCAACCTACGGAAATGACGCCACCCAATGTGATGTCATAAATACCATCAGTGAGTAAATGACATCATATGGTATCAAGTGATGTCATAAACGAAGTGACAGAGTAAATGGTCATTGCTATACTGAAAGATGTACCTATGGTGAGTGTGGTAAGATGAAGAAAGTTATTGACATTTTATTTAAATTAGCTTAATATTAGCTCATTAATAAAATGTTAGTGTTCTAATAGTAAATGTATTATGTCTAAATATAAACATGTCTTCAAACCAAATGCCATTAATTTATTAATTTCTGTTCACTACCTCATAATTATTAATGATCGTGATCTGCTAGCATTTTCCTATTGGTTCATTCATGTGTACATCGACTTGGATCAGCTGATTCCATCAAAGCACCAGCAGGAGAAACCCCCTGAGGAGAAACCTGGCTGAGCCAAGCCATGAGTCGTCCCCTCCCGCTCCTGCACGGGCACCTCCATCCCTCTGGTAGCCCCCCAAAATGATGTTATCCAGTGCCAGCACACTCTTTCAGTGTCTTCCCTGCCCTTGGCACTTGGGGACCAGTCGTAGCCCAGCAGGAAAAATTGTTTTCAGGATCACAAGGGGCTCAGCAGGATTAAGCCCAGGCAGCAGCCTGGGACAGCTATTTCTAAGCCTCTTGGATGTCCTTTTGTCATTCCTTACAGGGAGGTCAGGCTCCCTGAGAATCAATTTGCACAGCCTTCAGGTTCATATTATTTGCCGGAAAATGTCCATCCTAAGGGAACAACCCCAGAAAGGGGAATTCATTATGCAGTTACCCTGGGGGAAGTGTCAGCAACATTAATCCTATTATAGCATTAGCAGGACAGGGTCGCAAGAAATGACAGTCAGGGAGAAAACAGGGCCCTGCCAAAAAGCAGGAAGCCCTTTTAGGAACATCCCTGTCTTGATAGCAGTACACAAGGGGAGCAAATAGAAAGATATAAAGTGACAGGGGTTGGCAAGTCCCCCACAGGCTCCACTGCCCCAAGGAGGACACGCTGGCACTCCCAACAAGACTTCTCCTCCCTGGCATGGCTCAGATGGGTGCTCAGCACGTGCCTGGCATTGCTTCCAGCAGGTGCCCTCTGCTTTTGCTATTCATCGCTTTCCTGTTTTCCAAGGAGAAACAAGGCAGGGAGCGGTGAGCTGGCCAGTTCCCTATTCCTAAACCCTTCCTGGCACGACCACACTCACGCAAGCCAGCCTTGCAAAGCTTGGGTAAGAATCAGATTTTAAGCCTAGTCAACTTGGGAAAAAACAGAATCAAGCAGCCAGTATCAAATCTACTCACAAATATATCCCTCCTCAGGGATGAGAGAATTAAAGGACTGGGTGTCTTCAGTGACAAACTCAAAAAAAAAAAAAAGAAATGATTTAATTAAAAACAAGGTTATGGCAACAAGAGCAATGGGAAGGGAAGGACCTGCCTGGAAGGGTGCAGGAGGGCAGGGTCACTAGTGACACACAGGGGGTTTGGCCTCTCTGAAAACTCCCTGTTTAAGGCAGTATTTTGTTAGCTCAGAGGGTTTACAAAGTCCCTTCTTGCTCTGTGGGGGAAAATCAAGGAGTTCTGGCTTAGCTCTGGAGGACTCTGGCCCTTTCCATTCACCTGGAGAAAACCTCCTCTGCCTGTATTGACTGGCTCAGCACTGCCAAAAAGTAACACAGCCAAAAAGTAACAGCACTGCCAAAATGCAACACGGCACCTGCATTTCTCACTCATTTCCATGATGACACCCAGGAGATGTCAAGTAAAGAGCGTTAAAATACAACGCTCAGACTATATTTTGCTATGCAGATGAAAAAACGCACTTATATTTAGCCCATGAATGCTGGGCATAGACAAGCAGGCAAAAACTGGATCGTAAATTAGTTGCCTGGGAGAAAAATCAAGTGAAATCTCCTGCTGGATTTCCCCAGCACCCTTCTTCTAAGCCATCCTCTTCCACCTGCGTTTCCTCTCCTCACTACTCAGCAGTTTGCGAAGGGTGAAAGCTGTTGCCTGGATCCTGAGGTCAAAGAAAACTTGTTCCCTCTTCACCAGGATTAATGAAAAAGTGTAAAGAGATGCAGGTCCTGGCAGATCTCGAAATGTAACTTTCACACTGGCTCTAAATTTGAGTTTTATTACACAGACAATTTTCCCTCTGAATGGCTAAACTACATTTTAAGAAACTGCAGTATTCGGTAGTTCTTTACAGAGGAGCAGGACACCATTGTGTTTCACCCATCCCCAGCGTATGAATTATTATTTATCCAAGCTAAATTCTGATTTTGCTTGGGTAATGTCTGCAATCACTCACTGATTAGGAGAAGTCATGATGGTTTGGGTTTTTTATTTCTGTATGTTTGTGTGCCAAGATCAGCAAAAACTGTCTCCTGCTTGCTGTTGTTGTGACATACCAGCACATCTAGTCCCTCCCATGTGTTTTCATCATCCTGCTGCCTGGGAGAGGGGTAGCTGGATGTGGTGTGGCTCTGCTATCTCCGCAATCTGCTGGCTAGCAACCACCTTGGAGAGATAACAAACGCCTGAAATAAAGCAAACGTTTGAATCAGACCTTGAAGATCTTCCCACGCTGGGGAATAGACCCACGGGAAACCAGGCTCAGTGCAGGTGGCTATCCCCACTGCCACTGAGGGCACTTTTGGATAGGAAAAAAAACCCAACTTTTTTCACAGTTTGTGAAATGTGAGGTTTGAAACAGATGTGAGGCATTAGTGTTCGTGAAACTAAATCCTATCCTCTTCCTAGCTAGAGCAGATCGGCAGCCAGAGGTCACTCCCAGGCTAAGTTGCCCTGTGATGTTGTTTAAACTGAGGTTTTATTACTAACAGCTGGCTTCTCGCGTCTCCAGAGCTCTCGGTGTGATAGTGAAGGTGAGCGCCAGCCCAGCGGGCAGGAACAGCCTCCGAAAGGGGACACAAGCAGCCACCAGCGCTCGGCCGCTGCTCTCAGGACAGGCCCCGGACCGCACCTTCCCCGCGGAAAGGGGCCGCCGGCCGGGCTCGGTGAGAGAAGCCCTGGCGCTGCCACACCTCACCGCTGGCGGTGCGGGACAAGGCGGCGCGGTTCTCCCGGCGGGGCACCGCCGGCCCCGCTGCCCCGGGCTGCAAACCCCACCGCTCCCTGACGCCACAGGGCCCCGCCGCGCACAAGATGGCGACGCGCGATGACACGGCGGTCACGTGAGGCGCGGTGTCGCCCGCCCCGCCCGCCGCCGCACGGGACGCGGGGCCGCCGCTGCTGCCCGAGGGGATCCGCCCGGCGGCCGCGCCGACCCGACCCGACCCGACCGGACCCGAGGTGCCGCGGGGTTCCTGCGCCGCACGGTGAGCAGCGAGCTGCCGTCCCCGCCTCAGTGCAGTGGGGCCGGTGCAGGCCCGGCGCAGGCCCGGCGGTGGCGGCGCTGGTGGCGCTGGTGGCGGCGGTTGCACAGGGAGGCGGATGTCAAGCGGGGCGGGGGCCGTGTAGCGGCATGACTGGGCCGCGGCTCCGGGGTTCTGGCCCCTCAGGCCGGCGGCGGCCCCTGGGGGATCCGCAGGGCGGGGTGTCCAGGCCCCCTCAGCTCCTGACGGCTCGTGGGGGTGGGGTGGGGGCTGGAGGAAGCTCTGGTGCCCTCAGCTCGGGGGTATCGGTGCCCCTCAGCGCCTGGGGGAACGGGGAAGATGCGGTCCCCCGGGGGAGCTCTTTGTGCCCTCTGCTCAGGGGGCTGCTGTCCCCTCGGCCCCGGGGGAGCTCTGGTGCCCTCAGCTCCGGGGGCTGCGGTTCCCTTCAGCCCCAGGACCCAGGAGGGACTCTGGCCCCCTCAGCCCTGGTGCAGTCTGTTCCCCTCCTCCCCGGAGTGTCGGAGCAGGGGGTCTGGTCCCCTCTGCCCCAGAGAGTCTGGGAGGTGTGTGGTCCCTTCAGCTCAGGTGGGACTGTGGGCGAGAGTCTGGTCCCCTCAGCCCAGGTGGGGCCTTGTCCTGGGCACGGCCTCAGCCTGGGGGGGGTTGCCGGGTCCCCTCAGCTCGGTGGGTGCGAAGGCGGAACCGCTTCCTGCTCCAGAAGAAGCTGGAGGTGTCCACTGCGAGCAGGAAGGAGATCTGTCCCATCCCGATGACTTCGAGGGCTGTAGTGGTGGCCGTGCCGCCTCCTGGGGTCTGGGGTTTGCTGGGTGACAGTTTTGCTTCGTCCCTGAGGGTCTCGGGGACGAAGAGGCTGGAAGCAGAGCCGGGGGTGGAGAAGCAGAGGCCTCACCACCATCAGGCCGGCAGGTGTGCCCCCTGTTTGCTTGTGAAATCGCTTGCTGATTGATGGGCTGCGTTATGTGGGGTTTGGGGGAGTGTATAATGCATGTGGCTGTCTTTTTACTGTGTTCCTGCTGGAGGCCCTGTTTTGATCAAGGTTTCTAATTTATTCTGTCTTGTGTGAAAACCTCATTAAAGAAGGCCTCGGTGGTTTCAAGCACTGTAAATATGCAAGGCAAGGATGAAAAGAGAGAGAAAAGAGTATTATTTGTGAAAAACGGGAGCTCTGCTGTATTGCCGTGATGCTGATGAAGCCTGCTGATGCAGGCAGCCTCTCTTAGCAGAGCTGGAAAGGGGATGTTGATGAACATCCTCATATCATTTCGGCCGATGGCAGCATTGGTGCATCATGGTGTGACAACAGGTTTTGCAGCGATTCCTTCAGACTCTGTTCTGCCACTTAAGGTCTGCGTGGGTGAAAAGGATTTTTTTTTTTTTTGTTAGCTTTCATTCCCATTTGCAAACCACTATAAAATACAGATGTGATGCCTGACAACTGAAGTTAGTGGAAGCTCTGCTGTTGATCTTGGTGGGTTTGGGCTTGACTGCATTCGTTCATTTGGGGAGTGGATGTTGCATTGGAGTAATACGCGCTTCTGCTTTATTAAATGTAGTATTTTGGTGCGCAGTGGAATTACTTCAGCTTTGTGAACTTGTTCAGAGAATGGAAAGAGAATGCAATCAACTCTGGTTGGTGGCAGACAAAAGATAAAGGCTACTTTTACAATAAAGGTAATAAACCACCTTTAAATCCTGAGAGATTGCCTTAATTTTCTGGATTTTGCATGTGGAGCAGAATTAAATTTAGCTCAGATGCCTTTAAACTGTGTTTGTGGTCTGTGCAACAAACTCTGATTCCCAAATAATTTATCACGCCTCTTTTTGTCTTTCACATATCAACCTAGAGACAATGTGTCTCCACGTGGTTAATTAGCTTTTAATGAAGACTTGTAACACTTCTAAATTTAATAAATCAAAGTATGTGGATCATTTTCAAGACTTGGAGATATTAATGAATACTATTTGACTACTCGGAGTTAACGGTATCCTTAGAAGTCAGTGGTTTGTTAATAGCACCTTCTCTACAGCTGTTCTCCATGTATATCATTGCTTCTCTCAACGCTCGGCAAGCTTGAATAGGTGCTGCTTTTAATTAAATAATTATAGAGTTCTCTTGAACTGAACATGTGGAGGAAGAACTATGGGTGATGAGAGCTTAGAAATTTTTCCCCTCTCCTGGTCACTGCCGCTCTGCCTTGTTCAACGTTGGTTAATTGGTGCGCTAAATACGGGTGGCCTGGGACTTACTCAGATTTAATAGCAATTTCAGTTTGGCCGTAAGGAATGGTTGCCAAATTAAAGGCTTTTTAATTGGGGCAACAGGGCATCCTGTAAAAAAAATGCTCCAACAAAAATAGTCCAGACTCTTGTTCTCTGGCCTGTCAGGAAGGGCCTGTTTGGAGTTTTAAAAAAAATAAAATAAAAAAATCTGTGTAGCATCAGAAAAAAGAACTGGGAGACTTGCATGTGGCCATGAACGCTGGTTTTGTTGAACGTGGTGTGAGATCCTTCCCTGACAGTGCAGTTCACAGAGACGAGTGCAGGAAGGATTTTTAAGGCTTCATGGTGAGGTGGGTCCAAACTGTTCTTTGCTGAAATACAGCAGAGCGCCTGAATGCTATTTCAGTCATAATTCAAGCGCGACACATCAAAAACAACTGTATGTGGAAAAAGTGCTCTGAAGTAGAGGTGAGCCTAAAATGAGCTCAAAAACCCAAATTTTGGGAGTTTTCTTAGTATTGGAGGGTCATGAACTGAGCTCCCATGTACTGTCAGTGTTTCCTAAAGTGTTTTTGTGTCATCAGCAGCTTTTTTGCACCCAGGGCACCAGTGAGCAGATGAGGGAGGGCAACCCTCTGAAGGCCAATGTTCTGCATTACTCCTGGGCTATGGATTTTGAAACCCCAACTTTTAATACAGCTTGAATTCCCAAAGAGTGGGGCATCGTTCAAATTAATAATTAAGTCCCATCCTTGCCCACTCCCTGCCTCCCCCCCACAAAGGAGCTGGGGCAAAAGCGAAAGACTGAAGAAAGCATGAAACCTGGTGGCTTTTTGTGATGCTTTCACCCCAAATATATTTTATGCTTTTGAAAATCTACGTAGCAGAGGCAGTGTTTGGTGCAGGTTACTTAGGCTTATTTTTTGTTGATAAAAGAGCATCTATTCTAATAAGCTACGAAGTGTAACTGGTTTCCCTGTGCCGTGTATAGTTCATTAACATAAGTGAATATTTAAACACCTTTAAAATGTTTGTCTGTGTTGTTTCTGGTCTTAACGAGCTTGTTAATGTAGTTGAGGGGGCAAAAGAAATCCTTGAAAGTACCAGCCGAGCTTTGTTCTGATAGCTCTTGACCAAGAGCCCTTAAGAGCAAAGAAAGTCTGATTTAGGAGACTATAACCTGTAGCTTAAAGAAATGCAGCTTTTAAAATGTAGTTATTGCTGTTGCTGGTCTTTACAGTTCACTTATCCAAATCAGAGGAGCAAGATTTGTGTGGAGCAGAACATGTCCTGTTGATGCTTCCTTCATCAGCTTGTGCAGGCAGGCTCTGGTATCCGATTGCACATCCATATTCAAAGCAAAACACTAATAAATCTCTATTGTGAAAGTATCTTCACTAACCCTGCTTGTTGCTTGTGCTGATTTGCTTAGATTTAAACAAACAAACAAAAAATACTCCCTTTGCTTAACCCTGTCTTTAAAGCTTTTTTCTCTCAGATTTCCCAGCAGGATCGGCCTTCTGTCTCCCTGATTTTGAAGCTCTTTGGAGGTGGCTTGCTTTATTTAAATGGAGTAAAGGCGAAGCATATTGTTGCTTGGAAAAAAGACCGAAAGGGATCCCTGAAGTCCAGTAGCTTTGCGTTCTTCTGATGCAGGAAGCGTAGCTGTGTGAAAACCGGTCCCTTTCTTAGGGAGCTGGGTGAGGTGTGGGTGTGCAGAGGGGAGGCAGGGTCGCGGAATTCCTTGGCTGTGCTTGCTGGGCTGACTTTGTGGGGAGCGGTGTTGTGTCCTTACTCGCTGGCTGGGAGAGGGCTTGGAAAATTGAGCACTCCTGTGAGCATCGGTTGGTGCAGGTCTGGGGAACGGTGGTGAGTGGGGCTGTGTTGCCTTCATCAGAAAAAGAGGTAGGCAGAAACAGAAGTAGAAACAGTAGAAGAGGTTGTAATTCCTGTCTTAAGAAACTGAAACAGCTTTATATTAGGTATATTGCCTCCAAAACCCAGAAGTTTGGACGGACATCTTCCTGACGAGAGCAGCCACTTTTCTTCTTTGCTCTCAGAGTATGTGCAGCCATAGCTGTGGGATGTGTCTGAATAGAAGAGCTTTTACAGCCTTGGTTGGAGAAGGATTTTTAATAGCTCTCATCTCTTCCTGTCCAGTGCAGCCTACACCTTTAATTTCCTTGACTAAAAAAGAACATCGCATTTTGGAGTGTCTTACAATTTTCCTTGCCGGTCCATTAGTGTATTAGCTTAGCTTTGTGTGTGTTGAATGCCATTAAATGTCACCAGCAAATTTAATGTTGGGAGCACTGAGATTTGTGCTAATTGAATTCAAAATCTTATACTTGAATTTGTTAAAATGGCAGATTCAGACAATTGAAATGCTTTATATGGGAGAGTGTATAAGCGTTTGCAAATTTCCTCTTGTAACTGAATCTAACAGTGCATTTGTATAGATGCAAGGGGAGACCCTGAGCAGGCAGATCAGGTTTCGATGGGGCTTTACTGTCTCTTTTTTTATTACTATGTGGTGAAAGCTGGCAAAATCCAGTATGTTGAAAGTCTTCATGCTTGACATCTCTTCAGGGTCATTGTTAAGAATAACTTAACCTTAAATACTTCTATAAAAATGGTGGAGAATATAGAGCCTTTCTTCCAGATCAATTTAAATTTGTCCTCCTGCAGCCATCGTTTTAGGTACTAATGGAGAAAAGGTTGTTGTTTCGGCTGTTGGTCTTTAAACTGTAATGTGCTGTCTT